TGGTTTGCTCTGATCCCCAGCTCCCTTAATATAATATGTCCCACATCAATCTTTATGCCCGACATGATGCATGAAATGATGAGTGCCTTTTCAATATTTATGACAGTCTCATTCCTAGTCGGCATCAGACGGGAGCAGACAAAAGTGAGCCAATATCGGCCCTCCTGGGTGAAATCCCGCTTGTAAATCTTGTGGCGTGGGTCAATCCAAGAGGGGGTCCCCTTTGCTATGACAAAAGTAATCCAGGCATGCTCGTTGTCACTGTTGGCGAGTTTTGCATCGTACGCAGCCGTGCCTGGCGACCAGTCCTCAAAGTATAGGTCTTTAATGGTACCTGCGTCACAGAGCACTTGAACCCTTCGAACTTGGACGAATTGCAGGATTACCCTATTCTTCTTTTTCTCAGCATATCGTGAGGCAGCATAAGAAGAGTAGAACTCCCTCACAAGTGTCTCATTATACTCATCTGGGATTTCAGTGAAGAACTCCCATTGTCTCTTCTTAATGTTCTCGATTATGTGAGGGTAGTGCTCCTTCAGACCTTTTAGACTCAACTGCTTCTCCTCAAGAATTTTTCTCTTTTTTATCCCTTCTTTGTATAGGTTCCATGAGCCTGTGACCCTAAATATTAGATCTTCCCCACTCTTCCATCGTGCTTCAGCTTGTAGGTCAACGGATGGCAGGAGGTCAATCTGTGCCTCCTCCTCTTCAGACTGGGAGGAGTGCTCAGAAGTGCTGCGGGTTGTTTTAGGCCGTGTACATTTAGATTGTTGTGCCTGTTGACTCAGAGCAGCAACCTGTTTCTTTTTGCAAACCGGTGGTGATCGTGTTGCAAGAGACTTCTTTGGTGCCATTCTTGTCAATGAAACAGTGGGTGAGGGGTGGATATAGCATAGGAATCATGTTAATATAAAATAAAAGAGGCAGACAACTTATGCGATGGGTTATGCGATCGTATAACAACTTTGCGGACCGCAAACCCATCGCAGAATTACACGTCCATGAGGTAACAAATTATGCGATCGCAAAAATCACCACAAAGTTTGTTATGCGACCGCGAAATGGTTGTATTTCTGTGCACAACAAAAGCAATTTTACTGACCATGTTTGCGGCAACTTTGCGGTCCGCAAAACGAATTTGCGACCGCATACTCCATCGCAAAATTACATTATACCAGGCCACCTATGGTTTCAGTTTGCGACGACTCTGCGAACCTCAAACCAATTATGCGGACCGCAAAGATCGTCTTCCTAAATCAAAAATGGTCAAACCCCTCACTTACAAGACTCTTATCACTCGAATGCAAAAATTTATTCATCCAGATCCCCACTGATCAGCTTTGAGAGGAAGGGGAAAGAAAGGGAAGCAATTCAATAGCACCATAAGGAGACACATTCGAGTTACGTCCTCCGACTCCAATTCAATAGCACCATAAGGAGACACATTCACTACTTTAAACGAAGCAGACCATTTGGATTTGAGTTTGCCCAGAAATAACTTGAGTCTTAAGTTGAAAAGTAAGATCAAGTCACCGGATTTGAACTCCCGCTTTAAGATCTTCTTGTCATGAACAAACTTCATTCTCTCCTTATACATGGCTTCACTCTCATAGGCATGGAGGCGGAATTCTTCCATCTCATTGAGTTGTGTCATTCTCAGGTTAGCAGCTTCGGCCCAGTCAAGATTCAACTTTTTCAGAGCCCACATGGCTTTGTGTTCAAGCTCCACAGGAAAATGACATGCCTTACCAAAAACCAATCGGTACGGTGAGGTGCCAATGGGAGTCTTAAATGCTGTGCGATATGCCCATAACGCATCATCTAGCTTCCTTGACCAGTCGGTCCTGTTTGCATTGACAGTTTTTTCTAGGATGTTTTTAATCTCCCTGTTGGAAACTTCAACCTGGCCACTCGATTGAGGATGATAGGATGTGGCCACCTTGTGCTTTACGCCATACTTTTCGAGCATCCCGGTAAAAACCTTGTTGCAAAAATGAGAACCACCATCACTAAGGATGGCCTTGGGAGTACCAAACTGCGTGAATATGTTCTTCTTCAAGAATGTTGTTACACTCCTTGCCTCATTGTTGGGCAAGGCGGTTGCTTCGACCCACTTGGAGACGTAGTCCACAACCACCAAGATATATGTCATGCCATAAGAGCTCACGAAGGGACCCATGAAATCGATCCCCCATACATCAAAGATCTTGACCTCCATTACAAAATTCATGGGCATTTCATGCATTTTAGAAATTGACCCTTGTCTTTGACATTGATCACAAGCCTTGACCATTTGATTTGCGTCATGGTAGATCAATGGCCAATAGTATCCACATTCAAGAACTTTTGCCACCGTCCGGTTTCCTCCATGATGGCCCCCAACCGGGAAGTCATGGCATGCCTTGAGAATTGGCATTACCTCATCTCCCGGAACAGAAAGGGCTCCTCCCAATAGTATTGCCTACACTCCCGAAAGAACTTTTTCTTTTGATAAGCTTCCAATCCATCGGGAACAAGGTCACTAACCAAGAAGTTAGCAATATCGATATACCAAGGAGCGAATGTGCCAGACAATGCCAACATGTGCTCATCTGGAAAGGCATCATTGATTTCAAGGTTCTCTTTTGGCCTCTCTTTTGGCCTCCCTATTTCTTCAAGCCTAGATAGGTGATCTGCAACTTGATTTTCTGTCCCTTTTCGATCCTTGACTTCAAAGTCAAACTCTTGCAACAAAAGGACCCACCGAATCAATCTAGGTTTGGCATCCTTCTTCTCTATAAGATAGCGAAGAGCAGCATGATCCGTGTAAATTATCACTTTGGACTGTAACAAATAGGCTCGAAATTTTTCAAAAGCATAGACAATGGCAAGAAGTTCTTGCTCAGTTACAGTATAATTCATTTGAGCACCATTGAGTGTCTTGCTTGCATAGTAGACAGGGTGAAGGATTTTGTTATGCCGTTGACCAAGCACCGCCCTAATAGAGACACCACTGGCGTCACACATGAGTTCAAATGGAAGGGACCAATCGGGTGTGACAATAATTGGTGTCGTGGTGAGCTTTTCTTTCAGTTCTTCAAAAGCTTTGAGACATTTCTCATCAAATACAAACTTTGCATCTTTTTCAAGGAGCTTGCATATGGGATTTGCAATTTTTGAGAAGTCCTTGATAAAACACCTATAGAAGTCGGCGTGCCCCATAAAACTCCGGACACCTTTTAATGAAATGGGTGGAGGAAGCTTGGAAATGATTTCAATCTTTGCTCGGTCAACATCTATGCCTTGTTTGGAAATTTTGTGGCCCAAAACAATGCCCTTGTCCACCATGAAATGGCATTTCTCCCAGTTTGGCACAAGGTTTGTTTCTTCGCATCTTTTGAGCACTTGTTTTAGGTTGTCAAGACAATGCTCAAAGGAATCACCCACTACAGAGAAGTCATCCATAAACACCTCTAGGAAGTCTTCCACCATGTCCGAGAAGATTGACATCATGCAGCGTTGAAAGGTAGCCGGGGCATTGCATAGTCCAAATGGCATACGGCTAAAGGCAAAAGTACCATATGGGCATGTGAATTTTGTCTTCTCTTGATCTTCCAGGGCGGTATTTATTTGGTTGTAACTAGAATATCCATCCAAGAAGCAATAGAATGACCTTCCCGCTAGCCGATCGAGCATTTGATCAATATAGGGCATAGGAAAATGGTCTTTGCACGTGGCACTGTTGAGCTTCCGGTAATCCATGACTCTTCATTCGGTCACAGTTTTCGTTGGGATGAGCTCATTTCTCTCATTTTGGATCACGGTCATGCCTCCTTTCTTCGGCACGCATTGCATCGGGCTCACCCAAGAACTATCGGCAATGAGGTAGACTACCCCGACATCTAACCACTTGATGATTTCCTTCTTCACCACCTCTTGCATGGAAGGGTTTAACCTTATTTGATGCTCCACACTAGGTTTACTTTCTTTTTCCAATTGTATCCTGTGCTCACAAATTCCGGCGGGAATCCCTCGAATGTCCGCTATTGTCCACCCAATGGCTTGTCGGTATTCCCTTAGGACATTCAACAAATGATCTACCTGCACATCATTCAACAAAGAAGAAACGATTACTGGTAAAGTACCATTAGAGCCAAGAAATTTATACCTTAAGTGCGGTGGAAGTGGCTTGAGTTCAAGTTGTGGCGGCTCAATAATTGAAGGCTTTGCGGAGGGTGTGACTCTATTATCTAAGTCAAGATAAAGTTTCTTTGGTGCATAAGTGTAGGAACCACGTCCTTCTAATGCATTCACCGATTCCATGTACCCCTCTATATCTTCACCATCAAAATTCACCAATATAGTCGTCAAAGCCTCACCAAGGCATTCTTCTTCCATCCTCATCTCAATTGCATCTTCTACCTTATCAACAACATCAATGGCTGAGATGATTTCATATGCATGTGGCAACTTCATACCCTTACTTGCTTGGAAGGTGACCTCTTTATTATTAACTCGGAACTTGATCTCATTTCGTTCTGAATCCATAAGTGCTCTTCCAGTAGCAAGGAATGGTCTCTCCAAGATGATAGGGATTTCTTTATCGTCATCACAGTCAAGGATCACAAAATCGGCAGGAAGGAAGAACTTTCCCACTTTCACAAGGACATCATCAACAATCCCCAACGGTCTTTTGATTGAATGATCGGCCATTTGCAACCTCATGCTTGTAGGCCTCGGCATATCTAACCTCGCTTGCTTGTAAATAGCAACATGCATCAAATTAATTCTAGCCTCATTATCACAAAGAGCCCTTGCAAAATCTCGCAACCCAATAGTGCACGGAATGGTGAAGGCTCCCGGGTCTTCTTTCTTTTGAATGGTAGTTGTTGCAATGATGGAACTAACCCGGTGAGTCATATTCACCACTTCGTTCTTGATGGTTTTCTTCTTAGTTATCAAGTCCTTCAAGTATTTAGCAAAACCCGGCATCTCTTGAAATGCCTCCACAAAAGGGATGTTCACTGATACTTGCTTGAGAATTTCATAGAATTTCTCGAGTTTGCTATCATCAACCCTCCTAGAAAGTCTTTGAGGGAAATGAGGGGGGGTCTAGGAATTGGTGCTAGATCTTTTGGTGCCTCTTTTACTTTTTCCTTTACCTCTTCACGGTTCGCTTCTTGGACTTTCACTTCTTTTGGGAGCTTTTCAACTTCAACAACAACTGGTATCTCACTTTGTGCCTCAACCTCTTGTTCAAGATTGTCCACTTCAACCATTTGTTCATTCTCTCCTTGAAGTATTTTTCCGCTTCGAGTTGTGATTGCCATAGAATGAGAAGTCGGGCCACTCCTATTATCTTTTGGGTTTGCAATTGTGTCACTTGGGAGTGTTTTTTTCTTTGGATTTTGCTCTTTTGACAGATCTCTCATTTGTATTTCTAGCTTTTGTATGGATGCAGTGTGTGATCCCACAAGTTCGGCCATGTTCTTCATTGAAGTGTCATTTCTTTCTTGATTTTGCAATACTCTTTCAAGCATGTTCTCCAATTTTGACTCACTTGAAGAACCTTCCCTCCAATGCGAAGAGTTAGAGTATTGCCCCTTTGGTGGAACATAGGGGTTTGAACTCCGGTTTGCATAGTTGTTGTTGTTGTTGCTCCAATTACCTTGACTTGAACCACCTTGATCATTTCGCCACTGTTGATGGCCTTGTCCCTGCGGGTTAGGCCTCCATTGATTTTGTTGTCCGGAACCTTGGTAAGATTGTCTGTGGTAACCACCTTCAGAATTATGTACATAGTTTGCTTCCTCGCAATCTTCATTTGACAAGGGTTGCACATCTTCCATAGCATTTACCTTTTTTGTTTGGTTTTTAGTGAACATATTGGTTAACACATTAATGTTGGTGGCAAGTCCGGCAATTTCTTGATCTCTCTCTTGGTTCTCCTTAATCATGTTGGTCAAAGAGGGAGTACCGTATGCAATTCCACCCGTAGTATCTTCTGAGTGCCAAGCTTGATTGTGTTCTGCCATCTTGTCGAGAATTTGTGTGATCCTTGTGAATGTTTTGTCCATAAAAGATCCATCAGCCGCATTTTTGGCTATGGATTGGTTCAACAGATCCAAACCCATGTAAACCTTCTCTAACAAGATCGTGTCCGGAAAACCATGATTCGGCGACCTCACTAGGTATAGCTTGAATCGATCCCATGCCTCATATAGGTGTTCCTCCGGTATTTGCTTGAAGAAGAAAATTTTATCTCTAAGCTCGGATTTCTTGCTTTGTGGGAACCATTTGGCTAGGAAAGCACAGACTAGTTCATGCCAAGAGTAAATAGAATGAGGTGGTAGATTTTGGATCCATTTCCTTGCCTCTCCAGCTAGTGAGTGCTTGAATACCCTCAACCTTAGGGCATCATCTGACATGTTATTTTGTTTGTGCATCGCACATACACCCAAGAAGTTTCTAAGATATTGTGTCGGATCATCATCGGTAGAATTCCTGAAAAACCCCTCTGCTTTAAGCATTAGGATCAAACCATGTTCCACCTTGAAGGTAGCAGTATCAACTCGTGGAGGGACAATGGAATTTGTATCCTCGATGTACTCATCTATATCCATAAATGGATTTTCTTCTTCGTCATACCCGACCATATTTATCTAGCACACCAAGCAAAGCAAGCAAAGCAAGCAAAGTGTGATGGAATAGAAAAAAGACGTAAAGTAAAGCACATACTAAATAGTAATTTCAAAACCGTATTCCCCGGCAACGACGCCAAAATTTGAAACGCTCAAATTATACCTAAATAAATGGTGTAAGGCGGTCGATGTCAAATATAATAACCCAACTAGGTTGGGGTCGAATCCCACAAGGAATAGGTGTGAAACGATTACTTGAATAGTGTGAAGCTTTACTTAGGTCGTAATTCTATAAATGTTAGCTTGAAAATGGTGTTGTAATTATGTATAGTAAAGAAGATGATTGTATTGTGAGAATGTATTTAATTCGGTTAAGGAAACCAAGGTTGTGTCCCCATCGATGGAATGTAATTCTATCGGTGTTAATATGATATATTTCTAATGGAAAGTCCTTTGATATACAAATGGTTCCTAAGTGACTGCCCAATATTTCCCAACAGTTAAGCAGTATTTTCTCTTTAAGATTTTCCCAAATATAAAAGAGTTGCAATTAAAAATAACCAATTTATGCCAAATAGAACCCACTTATTCCTAAGCGATTCTATTAAACAAGGTTTAAACCTTTGAGTTTTTGATATTCAATTCTACCAAACCCTAACCCACTTTTTCAAGTAACGATAGAGTGAAATGGAATTAATTAATGTTTGCAACCACTAACAACACATGAAGCATAAGAACTGAGTAAATATCAACCAACCATTATATATATATATTCAATGGTAAACACCCATTAACGTTACACCCATCTAGGGTCCACAACCTTAGTAGTTAAAACTAGCTACTCATACTAGAATCTAAGAACAAAGCGATAAATAAAGTCATAAAACTTACAAAGATACAAGATTCCAAAGTCTCCAAAATAATGGTGCATTCAATGCTCTAAAAGTAGCCTTTTTTCTCACTCTCTCTGCCCCACAAAAATCCTAATAAATCTATTTGTAGTGGACTAAAAGTCGGGGTCAAGATTTGACAAAAATGCCCTAGCAGAGTCCTTATGCGACCGCATAATGGTCTCATACCATGTATGCGGTCCGCATAGTTTACATTTACATCGCAAAATAAAAAAAAAATATTCAAGCCCAAATTTCCACCGCATTTCCATTATGTAGTCCGCATATCAGTTATGCGACCGCATTTTCCATCGCAGAAGTGCTACACAGATTCTTCAGTTGCAATTATGCGGTTATTATGCGATCATATAAGTGTTATGCCACCGCATAATGGACCGCGCATTCTTCTCTTCAGTTGACCAAAAATATGCTTCAGTTTGCGGTGAGTATGCGATCGCATATTACTTCTGCGATCATATACTTGCAGCATTTCTGTCCTTTTTTTGCTTTTTGACTTCATTTTCATGTTTTTGTGTCTTCAAGTCTCATACACTACAAAACATCAAAACTTCATAAGAATTAACTAAAAAGGCATCCAAAGACGAGCTAAGGTCTATGTAATTGGTATAAAAAATGCCCGAATTCTATGACACATCAATCTCAAAGAAGAATGAAATGCCTCTCACCACCATTTTGGAGATAGATATCTTCGATGTGTGGGGTATTGATTTTATGGGTCCGTTTGTTAGCTCTTATGGGAACACCTACATTCTAGTTGTGGTAGATTATGTATCTAAATGGGTTGAGGCCATTGCTTTGCCCAAGAGCCATTATTAGTGATGGGGGTTCGCATTTTTGCAACAAGGCTTTTGATACCTTACTCACATAGTATGGTGTCACTCACAAAGTATCAACCCCCTACCATCCTCAAGCAAGCGGACAAGTTGAAGTCTCCAACCGGGAGATAAAGAGTATTTTGTCAAAGACAGGTCAATGCCAACCGAACGGATTGGTCAAGAAAACTTGATGATGCTCTTTGGGCTTATAGAACGGCCTACAAAATACCGATCGGGATGTCTCCATACCTGTTAGTATTCGGAAAGGCATGCCATCTTCCAGTAGAACTTGAGCATAAGGCCATGTGGGTTTTGAAGAAGTTGAACCTTGAATGGGATGTCACGGCAAATCTAAGGATGTCACAATTGAATGAGCTTGATGAATTTCGGTATCATGCCTACACAAGATCATCTATTTAGAAGGAGAAGATGAAGTACCTCCATGACAAGTACATCCACAACAAGGAATTTAAAGAGGGTGATCTTGTGCTATTGTTCAATTTCCGGTTACGGATGTTTCCGGGCAAGTTGAAGTCAAAATGGAATGGCCCCTTTGAAGTGGTGAATGTAACCCCCTTTGGTGCTCTAGATTTGAAAAATAAGAATGATGAGGTGTTTAGAGTCAATGGGCACCGGGTTAAACATTATCTTGGCAAGGTTGATGATGGCCACATTGTGGCGGTTCTTCATTTCAAATGATTGGTAATCTGCGTCGTGCCGCGACGTTAAATCAGGTGCTTCTTGGGAGGCAAACCATGTACCTTTTTCTTTTCTTTTTCTTATTTTTCTTCTTTGTTAGATAGCTTTGTTTTGTTTTGTGCTAACTAGTTTTGAAGTATATGCAGGAATAGGTGTGCATTGCAGGGACTATGCAAGAAAAATTAGCTAAGTGTCACAAAAGTGCTGACCGCACCAAAATTATGCGGACCGCACAATCACTCTGCGGCCACACAGTTCTGTGTGCGGTCGCACAACTGGAAGATCAAAAATGCATGGTCTCTAAAGTTTGGCCTGTCAAATTTCCTTAACAATTTGCGGCCACACATAAAATTGTGTTGTCCGCACAAATTCTGCGGTCGCACTCGCTCTTGTGCGGACCGTAAAAATTCTTTCAAGGTACAGGTAAGGAGTGCGGACAGCACTCAAAATTGAGCGGCCACACTCAAGTAAGTTCTGGGCCCGACAGGTCAACCTATAAATAGGTGTTTCTCTCTTCTCTTACGTAATATACGTAACGTGGCGTAGTTATATTAGGTATATATGATTGGGTATATCACATTGGGAGAATAAGACTGAAAATGTGTGGTAATATCAAGGAACTAAACTAAAGCTTTAAGTCAAAGGAATCCCTTAAACAAAGGTTCATGGTTAAAAAAATGGCTCGGGTAGAACCCCGCGCGTTCGGAAGGTTTAAGTTAACTTGCACCTGTGGGATAAGACTAAGAGTGTATAATATGCTAAGAATAATGTGTTATAAGGTATTATAATATCACACTGGTCACATGTTAAGTTTTGGAGTCAAGCAAGTTGCGAAATAAAGGTCGGCAAAAGTTATCGTAAATTTCTCTAATAAATTTTCTAAACTTTGGGTCAAATATATCAGATCATTTCTCCCAATATATAAAGAGTTATGGGACTCACAACCTACCAAATCGAAGATCTACGAGTCTAGTTTGTAACCAAAGAAATCTCACATCAAACCGACATTGGAGTAAAAAGTTATGACTGTTTTACCGCGGACTGTCCGGGCTGAAATCGGATCGCGAACCGGGTCGGGTCAAACAAGTGGTATAAGTCGGAAAATCCGAATTTTAAGACCCCAAAACATTTCATCTTCATTCCAAAACAGTGAGAAAGCTTAAGAGAGGGTTTCATGGAATTCTTGAGTGATTAAGGTGTGTTTTTAACGATTTCTATCGTTAAAGTTTGCCCCCGTGCCTAG